GAACGGTAAATGGCTAACAGATACTTCTATAAGGGTATATGACAAGAGAATCGTAATTTTCCGCGCTGGCTGGCGTGGTCAGCGGCGCCGCTCAACGAAATACTGTTCTCCCTCCTAGGTATCCGAAACTGAATGTGAAGGAACGGGAGAGCGTGTTAGTTACTGAAACGCGCCAGGCGCTAGTGATTCTTCATGCTTTCAAATTTCTTGCACAATCTACGGTGTAGGAAGTAGCCAAAAACACGCGAATTATGTGTACGGAAATATGAAAAAAAATGCAACACTTCCGACGCCTTGCGTTTCGTTGCTCCAATCGAAAAAGTGACATAAAGTTCTCCAATCGAAAAAGTGACATAAAGTTTGAATTTCCCGCGCCATCATCGCGTGACGCCCACACTGAAAATTTCCCGCTCTTATTGCTAGACGCTACGTCGCGCGCGATGGAGCGGCAGTTTACGGTTCTCTTGTCCGTCTCCTCTTCTGGGAGGATAAGATCATCGCCCCGCAGGTCATTTTATAGGCTACATCGGATCCAGTTAGCCCCTACGACTCTGAATGGAAGTAGACCTCATTCAGAATTTCATGACATGTAAATGTTCTATAGCTTGCTGGTCCGTACACGTTGTAACACGAGTTGTCAAGGGTGGCAGGTAAGAGCAGGTGTCGACTTGTCTGGCTGTAAGACAAGTTCCACTAGGTTCTTGAATAAACTTGCTCCAGCTGGACTGGCAGGATGAGTTTCGGGGTTGCCCCCTAGGGCTACCCGGACAACCACTTTTTGTGCCCAATACGGAGGATTAACAGAATGTCTTATGAATGCGTAATGGACACTAGCGTTGAGTTGGACAATCTTCAACATGTTCCCTCGAAAAAAATTGTTCTCTTTTTTTTCAGGGTTGGGCTCATTGTCGTGCAGCGTAATGTGCGTGCATGGTGTTCGCTTCGCACTTGGCATTGGTTCAAACTGTATGGTAAAGTAAAGCCGCTCATCAAAGGAAACAAAAAAGACGAAGAAATGGAAGCGTTGGCTAAGAGGTGGGTTTTAACAGTTTAATTTCATTTGTGCAATATGATGTGATTCACTTTCAGACTTAAAGAAATCGAAGAGAACCATCAGACTGAAGAGCGCAAACGAAAAGAACTGGAGGCGGAGAATGCTCGCCTTCAGGTAGGTAGTTTTCCTCGCGGGACCATCACCTTTCAAGAGTGAGTAATCCCTTTAAAAACTCTTTTTATAGGCGGAAAAGCAAGCAGTGCTTCTGCAGCTCGAGCAAGAGCGCGATGAAAATGCCGAGATTGAAGAGCGTAGTGCAAAACTGCTCGCTCAAAAGGCTGACATAGAGAAACAGGTACATACCAGATCCTCAAAATAACAACCTTCATATCTGAGTGATG